AAGCTCTCATATACTTGGCAAGGAGATATGATGGTTCAAGATTATTATGGCTATTTGACCCAGTATTGACTTAAATATTAGACTTTACGTCCTCTTGCTACTATTTCGAGGATAGAGCCCAAGGAGGCGACATTCATGCATACTTGAAAGTAGGAGGATAGGATTCACAAGTTTCTTACAGGATTTCGTGATGAGTTGAGGGACCTTATTCCCAGATCTTGTCGATGATTAGGCTTACATCTCTTTATGAGATATATGCAATGATTGAGCAATATGAGCACCACGTCCATATTGTATCACTTCCAGCTACGACCTTGACTTCTCAGACTGACCAGATGACTCTTGTAGCTGCTAAAGGGTCTCATTCACAATCCTCAACCAGGGTGGATAGCGCCCAGACCAGAGTCGTCAGGGCACCCCAGATCAGCGCAGATAGGGGGATTCTCATCAGTGTGATTATTGTAGTCGATTAGGACATATTAGGGCTATTTGCTGGAAGCTCCATTCAGAGCTTAAGTCACCTCCTCGTGGCCGTACTGCGGCTATTGCTAAGATATCCCCACCTTCTATCACTACTCCTGCTACTGTTCCTTCTTGGCAAGATCAGCGTAGACAAGGAGATTCTTGGCAGTATGAATATTGTGGCTAATTAGGACATCTCAGAGCTGTTTGCTGGAAGCTCCATCAGGAGCTTAAGCAGCCTCCTCACGGTCGTACAACTGTTATTGTTGAGGTACCACCACCTACTATCGCTGCTACTGTTACTGCTTCTCTTTGGTAGAGTAATATGGATGCTATCATTTTTCGATTGGATATACTTATATCAGTTCTGATTTCTTAGGGTCTGATACTGCCATGGCGACCACTACAAGTATACTTCATTCCTTTCATGCTTGCGCCAGTCCGTCTCTCCTTTAGATGCTGGACTCGGGTGCGAAGGGTCACATGACAGGTGAGGCTCATCACTTTACCACTTTTGACGAGCAGTTATATAAACAGATTCAGCTAGCAGATGGGACGCATGCCCCTATTGTTAGTAGGGGTACAATCTGCCTTCCAAATGACTTTGCATTACATTTGGTTTTTCATGCACCAAAGCTGGCAATGAATCCATTATCTGTACATTAGTTAGCTAGAGATTTTCACTGTGTGATTGTGTTCTTATCTGATTCGTGTTATTTGCAGGACTTGAGTACCAGGAGGATTATTATTAGGGGACATGAGAGAGATGAATTGTATTATCTAGGCGATCCACCTCCCGTTTCACTAGTTCCTACACTTACGTCACATGCACTTGCTTTATCTTTATCTATTCCTAACTTACATGCTAGTATTTTACCTAGTACTTGTCATTATGATTTTTCGTCACAAACTGTTCAGTTGTGGTATGACCATTTTAAGCATATAAATTTTAAATATTTATGTATGTTGTTTCCTAATTTGAGTAATGTTTGTGTTTGTGGTAAACCTGACTGTATTATATGTTCGTTATCGAAACATGTTATGATCAGTTATATTCTTCGCATGTATCAGTCACCTAAACTATTTGACCAAATACACTCTGATATTTAGGGACCCTCCCCTATTATTACTCTGTCAGGTGCTCGATACTATATGACATTTATAGATGACTATAGTCGTTGTAATTGAGTGTCTTTTGCATAGAAAGTGCGATATACTCCCTATTATCACTTAGTTTCTTCAGATGGTTAAGACATAATTTGATGTCATTGTTCGTGCTCTTCATTCGGATAATGCCAAAGAATATGTGTCTGATGCTTTAGTGTCTCACCTTTCTTCTTAGGATATCCTTCAGTAGCTCACTTGCCCATATACTTTTGAGCAAAATGAAGTTGCTAAAAGGAAAAAACAAGAGTTTGATAGGGATAGTACGTTGTATGCTTTGAGGTATGGGGGTACCAAAATTTTATTGGCATTTTGTTGTTTGACTTTTACCTTTTTATGCAATCATACACCGAGTTGTATTCTTCAGCATAGGACTCTTTTATAGGTCCTATTCCCTGAGTGGAAACTTTTTTTTGTCCCCCTTCATGTTTTTGTCTGTACATGTTTTGTTCAGGATATGCCTCCTACTCGTCATAAATTGATGATAAAGCGATTCGTTGTGTCTTTGTGGACTGTTGTCATTAGTCTAAGAGGTATCAATATTATAATCCTATTAGGCATTGTATGTATCATAGTCTAGATGTTATCTTTCTTGAGCATATTCCTTATTTTTCTTTCAGTCTTGTATCTGCCCCTCTAGTTGATGATACTCCTAAAAGCCATAGCCATTGGTCACTATCACTACAGAGTCATCAGTCTCTCCTCTTTTAGAGCCACTCATCCCTGTCACCACAGAATCACCAGACTCATCTTCTTTATAGGTTTATGTTCATCGCCCTTGTTCTCATCCCCCTACTGATGTCCCCTCTACCTCAGCCAATGCAGGTAATATTTATTAGTTTGTTGAGCATATTAATATACATGTTGTTAGTACTGATGAGGTTGTAGGTAGTGAGCCAATAACTTTACCTAATGAGACGTTGTCAGTGGAGGATGATGATTTAGGGCGTCATTATCCATGGTGTGATCATCGTCTATTTGTTCGTTATGGTTGGACCACTAGGACTTTATATCCAATCTCTGATTATGTTTCTTTAAGGTGAATTGTCTTCTACATTTCATGCTTATAGTATGGTCTTATCAGATACATCGGTTCCTTACTCTATTTCAAAGGCTATGCGGAGCCCTAGTGAGTTCTTGTCATATAGATAGAGATGGATGCTCTTCAGCGTAATCATACATGAGATCTTGTCTCTTTACCATTAAGGATGAAGTTCATTGGTTGTCGTTGGATTTACACCCTGAAATTTATTGTGGATGGTACTATTGATCATCACAAGGCTAGGCTTGTGGCGAAGGGCTTTACTCAAGTACTAGGTCGTCATTTTGGTGCTACCTTTTCCCCCATGAAAAAATTAACTACTGTTCAGTTGATTATTTCTTTGGTTGTGGAGTATCCTTGGCCTCTTCATCAATTAGATGTAAAGAATGCGTTTCTTCACGGTGATCTGGACGAGATTATTTATATGGATGCACCACCGGGCTTTTGTGGTGAGGGGGAGTATGCTGGAAAGGTATGTCGATTGCGTAAGTCTCGTTATGGACTGAAACAGTCGCCACGAGCCTAGTTCTCTCGCTTTAGTGATGTAGTCGTACGATTGGGGTTTACCAGGTGTCATTCTGATCATACCTGCTTTATTCGACGAAATATTTTTAGACAGTGTGTCATTCTTCTGGTATATGTTGATGATATTATTATTACTGGTGATGATATTTCTGGGACTTCGCAGGTCAAGATAGACCTTGGGAAGACCTTCGATGTGAAGGACTTTGGATTTCTGCGATACTTTCTTGGGATTGAGGTTGCCCGTAGCGGTAGGGGTGTTGTTCTTTCTCAAAGAAAGTATGTTTTGGATCTTCTTTCAGACACTGGG